GAACGCCGCGAGCCTCGAGCGTAATAATATTTTTTATGGTAAGCTCGAGTATAAAGGATGCGTACTCGAATATCCAGGAGGGAGGCGTGAGCTGACCTTCGGGTTCGGAGGTGCACCAGCTGTGGACGTTGACCGCTACAACAACGTATTAATTATCAAGGTTATGGACGGTGACAACACAACCTCAAGTGCATCACAAAAGACAATATTGTCTGTACTCAATTCACCTGAATTTGAATCCGATTCGGATGTTCAAAGTGGTACCTAAATATACTCAAATCGCCGGCTGATACATCTATGTTTCGAAGCGATCATCAAGATGGTCAAAGACTTCGCTTCTGCTAGAAATTTGAAGGACAGTACAAGCTCGAATTGCATGGCGTGTGGTCAAGATGAAAAAGTCAAGGGAAAGCAGTCTAAGAAAGACACGGGGAATTTCTCATCAATCGATGTAATAGGTGGGGTAATCTTTACCGACCTCAAAGTTCTGATGAAACCACGAAATCGTCTAGAAAGTCTCTATCGGGTCTTTTTAATTGATCATCGTTCGAACCTTTGCCGTGTAATTTTGGCTAGTCAAAAGACGTCGTGGCACTTAAATGTGAACATTTCCAAGCAAGCTTTGAACGTGAGTTTAGTATCAAGATCTACGTCCTACACACAGACAGTAAAGGCGAATACAAGACATTGGATGTGTTTTGCAAGACTGCGGGAGTATCACGTCAAGAGAGTGGAGTTAGGAAACAAGCTAGCAATGGCAAGGCTGAGCGAATGAATCGTACCAACATAAATGTGTTACGAAGCATGATGTTTGTTGTAAATTACCAAAACATTTCTGGGGGATGCCGCTGAATACACGGCTTTTATGCATACCGGAAATCAAACTAAGTCGAATCCTGGTGGCACCCATGGATTTTTTTTACAATGAAGGTACCCATGCAAAACGACATCGTGGTGTTTGGTCCGGCATGCACGGCCCACGTCAACTTCAAAAACAAGTCGCTTGTAGAGCGCGGTAAGGCGGCCATTTTAATTAGCATAAGGAATGAGACGAAAGGGTACAAGGTGTTTATCCCGAAGGAAAAGATTATTGTGGCAACGCACATGTGCTTAACACCAAAGGTCCGGCGGAAGCTATATCAAACTTCATATCGGCCAACCTTCAGGGGCAGATTAATAACGATGGTCAGCGGGATATTCAAGTGCAATTAAGTGTATAAAAACGCTATAACAGGAGCCGTAACGGAGGATGGTCCGAATGGACAAGAAAGCGACATGGCACAAGGTCGACTAGCAAGAAACAGAATAGCGGAACTTCGACTTCAAGTCGTGCTGAGCCATTCGATGTGGTAAATGCAGATACAGTGCAAGACCCAAGCACTATGGGTATGCAGTCAAGAGCGACCATCGAGAGTAGTGTAAGATTGCCATGACCGAAGAACTAGACGCCTTGAGATCGAATGACGTTTGGGAAATTTTGGTGCCACCTATAGGTGCGAACGTTCTACACAACAAGTGAGTTTACAAGACCAAGACCGATGCCAAAGGAGACATTGATCAGTACAAGGCTCGTCTGGTTGTTTGTGGAAGAGATCAAGCCTTTGGAGTGGATTATCCTCTAGCGCTCACGGTTGTCAGGACTTTGGAACGTTTAAGTTGATCTGGTGCTCTCTAGACGATGGACTGTCACAGCATTCCATGGTGACTTACCTAATTTGTATGTCAAAGCGGCAAAGGAGGAGTCTTTAAAAAATATTTGAAGGTGCCAAAACGAATGACTTTTTAAAAAGAGCTGGAAACCCAGGGGGCAAGGTCATCAAGTGATGCGGCACTGCTGTTATATAAATTACTTATTGGAATGAAGCAGGTTGAGAATCTATGAAGTAAATGCTTTTTTAGCTGCGACCAGGTATAGTCAGCAATGCACGACGGACATGTGCCTGTACTACAATTACAAGGGCGATACATGTACAGTGATCGGTGTCTACGCGGATTATCTTTTGGTCACAGGCATCGCATAAAGAGCTGCGGAAATTTTTTTTGAGATGAGTTCTTTTCTATACAGGACCTCGGGGTTGTGAACAAGTTTCTTGAATTACAAATTTAATTGGACTACTCAATAAATTATTTATAGATCAAGAGGTCACGATCGACCTGTTGCTTAAGGGGTTTGGGATGGGGTCAGCAAACGGAGTGCGGACTCCGAATGGAAACGAGTGCAATTTGGAATGTTAGAGTGATCTGGACTGCCTTCCTGCAAGAAGCGCAAGCGGTGAATCAAGCATGAAGTCGTTTCAATCGCTGGTGGGAAGTTTGCTATATTTTGCAAAATGTACACCTCCAGACAAATGCTTTACATACCACAAGGCCACGAGGCATACGCACAAGCCTGCTTCCAAGGACTGAAAGACAGTCAAGCGTAATATAAAATTCTTGAAGATGCCGAAGGACAAAAACTTGCAACTAAATACTGTTGAACAAACAGCGGAGGACGTGCGGATCGAGTGTTGGAGCGATGCCTATTTTGGTGCCGACAAGGTGGACCGTAAGTCCGTGTCGGGGTTTGTACTAACTAAGGATGGTGCTGTTGTGCTACGGTTGCGCAAGAAGTCAGAGGGGTATTGATGAGTACGATGAAGGCTGAATTCATCTCAGCGTCGTAGGCCTGACGAGAGCTTCTAGGCATGATAAAGCTGCTAAACGAACTTCAGTTGCGTGTGCGTACGCCCACGCCAATGTGGATCGACGATTAAGCAGCTACAAAGCTTCTTGAGCCGGAATGAGTAGGTCAAGCGCCAAGCACGTGGATACGCGGTTCAAATTTATCTGCCATAATCCGAAAGCAAAATTTGTGGTCCCGAGATTTGTCAAGTCACAGGACATGGTGGCGGACACACTGGCAAAAGCGCTACCGGCACCATGGATGGAAAAAATGGGAACAATGTTAAAGTTGAGGGCCGCACAGACTGACAATGAGTTTAAGTGTTAGTAACTGTCACGTCTGGCAGTTTTCAGGTTCAAGGCATATACCATGTGAAGGTCTTACCTGATTGGCCGAGGTCCGACCAGATGACTTGTGAGATCACGAGGAGACGATCGGACAGATGGGACAGGAAGAGACAGGGCGATGACTTGACAGATGGGACAGCGAGCTGACAACATGACGGTTGGCACAAGACGATGCGTTTGAAATGTGTGACTGACGTACGAGAAAAGGAGGAAAGACGGACACCATCAGGCAGGTACATGGTCAAGTCGCAGTGCAGTTGCGATGCATGTTGTATTATTAAAAACAGGAGATGATTACTGCTATATAGAATCTACTTTTACATCTAACTACCGTTGCACAAGTAAAAACCAAGCATCACAAATCGATAGTATCTCGTTAGGCGGGGGAGAGAGCGGGAGAAGCGAGGCGAGCGAGGGATAATCAAGCGAGATTCGCGGCTGCTATGACGGAATAATGGCGACAGGTTAGAGCGTCTACAGCAGTCAGTATAACTTATTTCCTGTCCAATCAAAAAATTTATTCAGTTATACAGTAGAGTCTCCGTAATTTGTTATCTCTAAGTTAATATTCTCCTCACTTAAAAAGAATGTCGAGTCCCATGTTGGGCCCTGGCCAAGAAGTAAATGGATCCCTGTATTTTTATTATTAAAGCCAGAGAAATTTCCGCTATACAAATATATGAATACTGCCAGGGGACCGCTAAAAAACTGCCCAGAGTTTGTTGCTTGAGGGATTTATGCTGAAGGTTGTCCACCTAATCCTGCATCTTCTGAATCGACTCTAAGAACTCCTCTCCAGTCTCCTGCCCAATCCAGAAAGTCTTGAGCTATGCAGTTATCACTGCAGCATACCTAAAAGGGACGGGTGGTGTGGCCACGCTATCGTCCTTTTTGCTCAAATGTGTAGCATCCTTCGCTTTAAATCATCCCCCTTAACTCTCTTTAAATTTAGTCTTTTATTTTAATTAAGATTTGGTGGTCCCAGCCATATTAAATAAAGTTGAATCTAATGTACTCATAAAACGGCACCACGGCAGCGAAATAGCTCGGGGATCACTCGAACATTTGTTCTATCGTTTCCACCTACGTTTTGTAGTTCTGTGACACCCAAGATAATTGTTTTGGCTGCACGTCACTGGCTCAGGGTTTTGAGATCAATCTGGTCATTGGCGAAGATTAGTTGCATGTCATTGGCTCCATTTATTTGAAAAAAAACGATAATATGAGTTCGGCGACGTGGTCCAAAACGGCACTAGCTGCATTATGCAGTTGAGCCTCTTTAAGGACCAATAAAACAAACCAAGGCTACCACAACTTTACCAGTTACGTTAAGCCGAAAAATCTTTTTCTGTACAGTTATACTGAATACTGTGAAGTTTTTGGAATCTAGGTTATAGAGAATGTGAGAATGTTCTCTCACTAATACACGAATGATTAAGCTATACTCACTACCGAAAAAGCTCTTAATACGAATAAAAGTGGGAGATAGTTGGATATTTTGGAGCGACTGGTAGGGCGGACTCGGTCCTTAAATTAGAATTTAGGGAGAAACAACACAAATAGACGAATTGACTGGGTTTTGGTGTAGAGTGTATCGTCAGATAACACAATGGATAATCGCAAGAATAGGTTTCTCACACATGAGTTTAGTAGACTACGGATGGAAATACACGAACGCGCGATCGGACCAACAGATGGCGTTTTTGGTTTTTAAATCGACGAGGATAACAAGGTAAAAGTTTCGTTTTGACTGGACTAGTACCGGTTACATACCGTTTTCTTTACATCATCTATTCGACAGAAATGTTTTTTTTCTAACTTTTAACCATCACTTGTCGTAAGATCGTATTTGCGTGGTAGGACAAGGTAGTAATACAAGTTTTGCTAGAGGTTTTAAGCCCAATGGTTGAAGCCACAGACGCAACTACGAAGACGTTAGGTGGCGTCGCGCGACTCGCGCTTCGACGCGGATGCTAGCGCGGGTCCCACCGATGGTTCAAGCGCCCGCAGTTGTCGAAGTCTCGCTCGCTCGCAAAAGGAGCGAGGATACTGACGATAAGATCCTCACCACCCTCGTCGGCTTGGCGGAGCGCCTAACGAAGCTTGAGTCGTCGCAGCGCGTCCGCGACGAAGATGAGCTGATTCTAGGCGCTGTCGAAAATTGCATTTTCACTTCCGCCCTTGGCGCAAAATGCGCGATCGACCAATGACCATCGACGTGTTTGGGTCGCCGGAGCAGAAGCCAGCAGCTTTCCCGGCGCGAGCACCAGCGCCAGACGATGGCGTGTCAATGTTTGCGTCCCTGGCACCACCGCGCGGATAAGCGCCACCCGAGATACCAGTACCATTGCAAGCAGCACCAGTTTCAGGACCCAGCAGCAAGCAGGAGTGATGGACTACATCTCGACACCAACTGCGAGCCAGCAACAGTTGCCGATCCGAAAATTCGACGGAACCGAGCTCTGCCGAGGGCTGGGTGGTAATTTTTCGACTGGGAACGTTTGTTCTTGAGCGCGATCAAGCTCTCCGAGTCTTCATAAGGCTTCCTCTGTTCGAAAGACGTGAAGGTCGATCTGCTAGGCCAATTTACGTCGGGGACAGCGGAATTCTACTTCCACAAGCAAGTGGGCATGTTATGGTTGCAACAACCAACGCTCGACTAAGTCATGTGTCAGATGCTAACGACGTTTTAAAAAACAATTTATGGCTATCCAAGTGATGAAGCTCTTCATGATAAATAAAGAGGCAAAGCCATTTTGGTAGGAGCATTTCCCCAACATGGTCGGCGTAAGCGACGTGCTCGATTGAGCGGACTCGCTCGTCCTAGACAACATCGTCCATCACGCGTCGCCCGAGCTCATAAACTTAATGAGGGCCAAGTGCGACCCCACACGATCCGACTTCCTGTGGCACACGGAGGAGCTAGCGCAGTTCGCGCAGTCGTCGCAGCGCACATTGACGCGCGATCGGAGGACCAAACCTGCTTTAGTTGCGAAAAAGTCGGGCACGTGCAGCAAAACTGCCGCGCTAAGGACGCTGCGGTGGACGAGGATCAGGGTGAAAGCAGTTCGAGGCGCGGGATGCTGCTCGCGATGACTGAGATGCCCAACAAAGGCGTAGGAGGCAGCAGATCGCAGCCCGCGCCGACAAAGCAGTATGATTACGATGGAGGGGCCATCGGATCGCAATCTACGCGAAGCAAAAAGCTTGCGCGCTCGAGGAGGCAAAGCCGCGGTAAGAAGACGAGCGAGTTTGTGTTTCGCAGTTGGCGACGCCGACGCCGCCAAGACCAATCGAAGAGGCTGGATCCTCGACAGAGGTACTAGCTGCTACTTCAATTTTTACACGAAACAGCTAGTCGAGTCGAGACTGTGCAACGACGAGATTGCCTGCGGTCGGCGTGTCGCTCCAGCTTATGAAATGCGGCAGAGTGCGACCGAACATCATCGCGAATGGCGCAGCGGCATCCGTGACGCTAATCAACATCCACCTGACGCCGAGCCTGCCAAAGCATATCGTATTCTACGGGAAACTAAAGCGTAAAGGGTTCGTGCTCGTGTGTGACGAAGAGAAGCGCTCGATCGCCCGGCACAGTGACGGCGCTGTCGCTTTTGAAGTGGCAATGGAATAAAACGTGTTGTACGTGCAGACCATGACAACTAAGCGACATGTGGGAGCTAGCGGCTCCATTATGGCGGCAGTTGAGTCAGGCGCAGCGAAAGACGTCGCAATCGACGTCTAAGAGGGCATTCTGCGTCAGAAACCAGCGGTCCGTAGAATTGGCATTTGACACCATCGAGCGGATGGCGCGCGACCCGGCGTCCGGCATTTGTCTCACGAGCCACAGGCGCATGGCGTGCGTGTCATACGTGGAGGTAAAGCAGACGCGCAACGCGCAGTCGCAGCAATGTAGCGGCGAGAACGCGCCGATGGAACGCATCGGCAGCGTGATCTATTTAGACCTAAAAAACCGATGACACCTCAAGACCCATTCAAGAATCGATGTTTAATCAACGAAGTCGATCACAAGAGCAACTACTGCAGTATTATATTTCGCGTGGACGAAGTACGCTTCAACGAAGCAATTCGAGGCGTTCCTGACTCACTTTCAGAAGAGAATTGACTGTAGGACCACGAGCACGCACCGACGGCGGCGGCGAGTGCGCCGACGTGGAACCTTTCTTCAAGCGCACCAAAATGGCGCGGCAGATGTTGGAGGCAAGGAATTAAGCGTCGAGATGGAAGGCAATGCGTATGCACTGCTTAATTCTAAGCCTCGCGCGAAGCATGATGTTAGCGTGCGCGCTGCCGCTCAAATTCTAAGTCGACGCTGTGTTGCATGCAGTGTACGTGCTTAGCACGAGCCCGACGCGCTCAAAACGAAGCGTGTGTCGCCGCTCAAAATGCTGACGAGAACCGCGCCTGAATTGCTGCAGATATTCTTTTACGGGTAGCAATGCTACGTCTACCGCGACCCGCGCAAGAAATTGGTGGCGCAGCGATCGCAGATCGGGACTATCATCGGGATTAGCGACGAGGCTATAGGGTACATGGTCTGGATGAGGAAAGAAGGCAAGGTAAGCGTCCCCCAGCACGTCAAAGGAATCGACACGCTGACTGAGACTCAGAACGTGCAGCTGCATGGTGCAACGGGAATCGAAGACTGAGCCGACGCTGCGGAGGAGACAGCGCCAGAGCTAGAATCGCTAGCGGTGTCGAGATACGTAATTATTAAGGCGAAGAAGCCATGATCCCGACACGCACACGGCACGCGCGGCGCGACAAAGCGCGCACAAGCAGCATTCAGTCAGGAGGAGCCAGAAGCTGGCGAGGACGTCTTGAGTGCGGCGTATGAACGTGACTTGCAGAACTAAGTCGGGGACATGCAAAGCACAATCAAAACGGCTGGGTAAAAGAGATGAAAAATGTTTGCGTCTCTGCAGGATAACGACGTTTGGAAAATCATGCGACGAGCGCCAGGTTGTAACGCTCTGCATGCTAAATGGGTGCATAAAACGAAGGTAACTGTCAATGCTATTCTGGAGCGGCTCAAGGCGCAACTCGGGGCCTGTGGAAATTATCAAGTGCTCGGAGTCGACTACGGACTCACGTTCGCAGCAGTGATGGACTCCTCGACCGTAAAGTTTTTCCTCGCGCTTGCTGATACGTGGGGGGTGCCTGCCAATCATGGCGACATTCCCAACGCATACGTCAAGGCGGACAAAGAGGCGCACTTGCGGATCTACGTACAGCTGCCGCTCGGCATTTGTGTGTCTAGTGCGACGCTACGAAAACACTGCAAGCTTGAAAGAGCTCGTGCCTGAGCTCCGGAAGAGCCTGTACGGTCTCAAGCAAGCCAGACGGATATGGACCCAGCTGCTCCACACCAAGCTATCGGCCGTGGATTTTAGGCGCTGCGAGAGCGACAAGTACCTCTAATCATAACGTGAAGGGACAAAGCTAGTGTTCGGAGTATAGTAAATGACATTCTCGCAACCGGGACGACTGCCGCTGCGTTCTATCACTTCTTCGTCAGCCTTGCATCGCTATCAATTATGGATCCGGGCCAAGTCAGAAAGCTCCTTGGGATGTGCCTGAAGTTAAGCGACGACGAAGGGCATCGCCTGGACCAGGAGGAGACAATTGGCTACCTCCTGTGGAACAACGGGCTAACAGACGCAAATGCGACGCTAAAACCGATCGGAGATGATGGCAAAGACGAGCAGCCAAGCAACGCGGAGATCCTAGGATCAGCGAATGCGCCTCCGGGACCACGGTGCGCGAAATGCAGTCGCTGGATGGGTCGCTCGTTTGGTTCGCGCGCTACATGCGCCCGGACATTGCCTTAGCAGCCCATAAGGTGACACGACAGACGCACGTTCCGCGCGTGCTTGACTGGAGTTTGGCGAAGCGCATCGCGTGCTATCTCAAGGGGGTTGCAACGCTAAATATTACGATGAAGCCTTCCCGAGGTGACATCGCAGCGCCGCGACTTGACGCGTTCAGTTACGCCGACTTTGCGGGCGACAGGGCAGACAAAAAGTCGGTGACGGGCGGCATGCTTCTACTGAACGGTATGCCGGTAAGCTGGGGCGCGCGCAAGCAGGGTTGCTATCGACGATGGATGCGGATTTTATGGTCGCCAGCGAGATTGCGCGGGAAATGCAAGAGGTGCGAGAGAGGCTAATGGAGATCAGGCTTGCGCCAGCGCTGCCCATGCAAATGCAAGTCGACAACCATGCGGCTACAAGCCAGATCGCTGATGAAATGTCGTCGCTAAGGCAAAGCACGTGGACATCCGCCACAAGTTCTTATGCGATTTCGCTCGACGTGGAATTATTGAAGCGCGCTACGTCAGGTCCGAGAAGATGCTCGCGGACCTGCTCAAGAAGGCACTGAATTGGAGTAAGCCTAAGACGTTGCGCGAGCTTATGTAGATCGGGTAGAAGATGGATGATGTTGCAGGATGAAGGAGAGAGTTGAGAGAACAAAGGCGCAATCGAGGAGAAGTGTTGGAAAGATGACATTCTGGCGATTGGCGCCAGCCGTTTTGCTGGTATATAGGTGCAGAACGTGCACGAAATAAACGACTGGAGGAGAACGATCGCTAGTAAGGCAGGAGATAGCGAGCAAGTCAAAGGCAATAGACAGATTTTTTTTAACCTCTTACTGCGTCAACAAACCTATGCTTTAGCTGCATCGATGCTTGTAAAGCTCAAGACTTTCTGGATGCGGCAGGAGACTGGAGAGGAGTTCTTAGAGTCGATTCATAAGATGCAGGATTATGTGGACAACCTTCAGCATAAATCCCTCAAGCAACAAACTCTGGGCAGTTTTTTAGCGGTCCCCTGGCAGTATTCATATATTTGTATAGCGGAAATTTCTCTGGCTTTAATAATAAAAATACAGGGATCCATTTACTTCTTGGCCAGGGCCCAACATGGGACTCGACATCTTTTTAAGTGAGGAGAATATTAACTTAGAGATAACAAATTACGGAGACTCTACTGTATAACTGAATAACGTTTTTGATTGGACAGGAAATAAGTTATGCTGACTGCTGTAGACGCTCTAACCTGTCGCCATTATTCCGTCATAGCAGCCGCGAATCTCGCTTATTTGTCCCTCGCTCGCCTCGCTTCTCCCGCTCTCACTCCCGCCTGACGAGAGCAACGTCGTTTGTCGCAGCTGCCGCCTCTTTGATTACAAACAATCGAATGTTCGACGGCAGCTTCAAAGCTCCGCGTCAAGTGAATCTCAGTGGTCGTAAGAAGCCTCTGACGACGTCGATATCAAGTTTTAAAGGTCGAAATGACGGGTCAAAGGACGAACTTCTGCGCACGAATCGATTGGCGAGGGAAGAACGGCAGGCAATAAAGATACGCACAGCTGCGATTACCAAGATCCAGGCCCAATTCCGTCGTGTCCGGGCTTCCCAAATCGCTCGAGCTGCTGTAATGCACGATCTAGAGTATCAACTTCAACAGGTAATGCTGACAATTGATATTCAGCATCAAGCGCTGTCTATCCAACAGCTCCAGCTGATTCTGAGACGGTTTTTGTTTGCGCGCTCAAGTAAAAAAAGGATGACTATGGCTACGGAACCAAAATTAACACAGCCTTGGCAATTAGAAACGGACCAAACGGGACGGAAACTCCAGGATTACGTGGTGTTTCTATTGCTTGCCAGCTGTCTCAAGGGGTCGTCCGACATGGCTACAAATTGGTTGACGGCAAAAAAAGATACTACATGGGTCTACCAAGTGTCGCAAATGAGCGAAATCGCCTTGTATACACTCGTGCACGACGAAGTCGAGACGCCAAATACACATGCTCATGTGGCAGTGAACCCCTATCTGATGCTGCTAGACACGCTGACAAATGCGTCAACGTACAAGACACTTGACGATCAAAAAGTTCTGTCAGACGTGTGTTATCACCTTGGAATCTCAAGGCGGTACAGTGTTTTCGATGCAGTGACGGCGTGTATCACGGTCCAGGCAGAAGAAAAACATTTACGTGTGGAGGTCGACAAGTTGGTGCAAGTCATTGCACGTATTGCTGCCCGAACGCTGCAAGTGGCGGCTAGAGAAGAGGAAGCACAAGGACGAGATGCTGGTCTGCTGTCGCAATTTGCAAAGAAGTTGTTATTGACACCGTCAGCAGTGACGTGTCCACTTACGAGTTACATTACAAAGACAGCATTGTCAATCGAGAGTCATTCTCGTGATGCAACGGTTCGAATGGTGGGACATTTTTGGGCACGTGTAGTACGTCATTTTTGCATTGACTCGACGGTGGCAGCACTTTCGTGGTCAGAGCGAGCCATTTGTGTTGGAAACGTGTTAGAACTCGCGTTTCATTGCTCGTTTGATGGTGCTATCGTGGAAGTTATTCCGCTCGTACTGTCGGAGTTGATGACTTTATCACTCGTGCAATGGGCGTTTGACGTAAAGCATTCCGAGCAAGATTCGGTTATAAACAACGAAGATTATGACATGGATGATGATGGAAACGTGCCGAGTGTTTTATTGTCCGTTCAAGACTTTGCATTGGAAGAAGAAGTGCAGCGCGGCGTGGAAGGACTCGGCGTCGCTGAGTCTAGTGTCCGTGCGCAGTGGCAAAAGCTTTGCCATTCAAATTTTGCTCCGCTGTGTATCGATGTGCTGCTGCGTGTGAACAACGGGACACCGGAGCTTGTGTTGTCCGGCAAGAGTCCTGTTTACCGGCTTTGCGACGTTCTTGCTACTTTGATTTTGTCAACAGGGCGGTCTCACGTCCTTACTGTAGCGGCTAACTTTACGAATCCTCCTCCGGCTTTGCTTGCGTTGCTGAGTGCGATGACGGTCGAGCAGAGTCCGTGGAGGTCCACCGTTCTCTCAAGCATTACAAATCTAGTCGATAGCATGTGGCAGAGGATAAGGTCAGCGATCAAAAGCAGCACTTCCCAGCACCTGGCGCCGCTTTTCGGAGAGTGCTCGCTTGATACAACGACGGTGCCATTGCAGATGCTCCTTATTTTTAACGTCGTCTATTCTCACATGCTTTTGGGACTTGACGATGAAGCATTTTACGATGGGCAATGGCCACTTCGTTTGTGTGAAGTCAAAGCCTTGGTGACATTTTTGAAACAATTTGTTTACGAATCGTGTTGGATAGTTGATGGCAACACTGCACTACCAACTGGCACCATGGACGAAAGAGACCTCGTGAGATTCGCTGTGGTTGTGACATCCATTAAGCTGTTCAACCAGCTCTATGATCGGGATTGTCGGCGTCGTTTCATGCCTGATGGCGCGTGCTTGTGACCTTTGATGCCTACGATCAGGAAAGTTGTGGACCTTGACCTGATGAATGAGGATGGTCTTCACGGTGCGGACGCGATCTACATGCTGATGAATGGGAAAACGTCTTCTCCGTACGCGCGTGCAGCGCTGATACTTGTCACGATTCCGCAAGTTTTGTCGTTCAATGAACGTGTCCAGCTTTTTCAAAAGTTGCTGGACGATGCGAAGGCGCAAACAGGCAACACGCGCGACGAATTTTCACGGGCTTTGCAGGTTCGGATGTAAAGCCATGAGAATTTGCGCGACGGTTATGATTTCTTTCGAAAAGTGTGCGACGTCATGTCTCCTGCAGCCCTCAAGTCGCGCATCAAGGTCACATTTATCAACGAGCAAGGGCTCAAGGAGGCAGGTATTGATGGTGGCGGTGTGTTCAAGGAATTCATAGATGATTTAACGAAGAATGCTTTCTCACCAGAGTTCGGCTTTTTTATAGAAACGGATGATCATCTAATTTATCCTAACTCAAGAGCGAAGTTCATTGTGGACAACGCACAAAGAAGCATTAGAATGCTACCGATTTCTGGGGCGACTCTTGGCGAAAGCTGTATTTGAAAACATTCTCGTAGAGCCACAGTTTGCTGCATTTTTTATCAACAAACTCTTGGGCAAGTTCAACTACATTGACGACTTGCATTCATTGGACCCCGAGCTATACACATCACTTATGCGCCTGAAGCACTACGACGGCAATGTGGAGGATCTAGCGCTGACGTTCAGCGTGAGCGAGGTGCAGTTGGATAAAGTAGTGACACGAAATCTCTTGCCGGACGGCTCGAACGTCCCTGTTACGAACGAGAATCGGATTCGATATATCCACTTGATGGCGAACTACAAGCTGAATGTGTTGACATCCATTGAATGTGCTGCGTTCCTAATGGGTTTTCGTGACTTGATTCCGGAGTCATGGATTCAAATGTTTGCTCCAGCCGAGGTGCAGATGCTCATTGGTGGCACTGCCACGAACATCGACGTTGATGACTGGGAGCGGCACACTCAATACGGAGGTGGCTATCACCCGTCCCAAAAAGTTATCCAATGGTTTTGGGAAATCGTGAAGGAGGATTTCACGCATGAAGACCGTGCAGCGCTACTCAAGTTTATCACGAGTTGTTCCCGTCAACCTCTGCTTGGCTTTTCAAAATTGGTTCCTCAGATCGGTATCCACCAAGTGCGCGTAGAAGACGACGAGCGACTGCCATCGAGTGCAACGTGCATGAATCTGCTCAAGCTACCAGCTTACTCCAATAAGAAGTCGATGCGCAAGAAGCTGGTGTATGCTATTCGATCCAATGCAGGCTTCGACCTCTCTTAAAGGAGAGAGCTGATAACTGCGAAGTGGAAGTTGATAAAGCAGTTTCCCACAAAGCTTTATTACGAGGCACGAATAGTCGATCGGCCAGTGATTTGACACATTTCTGCAGTTGGAGACTGGTTGAGTCGAGGCACACAGCTATATTTTACAATCCTGTTGCACGCTGTGACACTTTCAAGTAATTACAAGGAGCTCTGCCTGGCGTTTTTTTTTCTCAATAGTATTAGATCTGCAGCCTTTACAGCGATTCGCTTTGTTCGGGTGGCGTGCACGCAACGTGTTTGTACAATTGTGAACCAGACATGACGACGATGGCGAGAAGAAATGGGATGAATAGCGAGACTGAAACGTCATCTTTTACTGTGCTGTCGAAGGCACCACTATGTGCGGCGCATGCTACGCTTTGTCACAGAAGCTGTCCCGGAAAGAGCACTGGACAACAACGAACTGTTCGCGGGTGGTTTCAAGAAATGAATATTCAGCTTTTTCCGAGTAAGCTGTGGTGACAAGGAGCTGAGGCAGTGTGTAGTTCCATCCGGCTCACCACAGCAAGTGGCACGTTTGTTCCCTAGAAACGATGTTGTGATGACTCAGCAGAGGGCGACGACGTTCCTTGTGCTAGTCTTTTGCTGAACGGTAATATGGGCTACCTAGCATGTGTGTTTCTGGGATTATAAAAGGCTGGTCGATTTATTTCCCCCTTCGCTTCGGGCGATGATTTGTTTATCTAAGAAGTATGCGAGAATGACGTGCGGATTCTTAAACTATGTTTGTTGAAACAGTGACTCGTTTCGATCCGATTGTTGCTGCGCATACATCCTGAACAATGGCAATGAGGACACACTGTAGGACGTGCTCACGTCTGAATATCGTCAGGTGTACTGATAACGTGGGACGATTAAGAGGACGGATACAATTATGAAATGTCGTCTTTCCGCGTGCAGCGGTGACCTCGATCAAGTCGTTTTGTTCACGACAACAATGCGTATCCAATGTATTAACACGAACGTGACAGTCTATTTCATCTCGGCATCAACATCTTGCTCGTTCTGTATATCCAAGCTTTTCGTGACGCGTTCTGATTGAACAAGCAGAGAGCTGTGGTATGATTGGCGAGCCCGTTCTCGTTACCAGCCACGTTGAGGAGCCGGAGACGTACACCACTTATGGTCATGATGGATCGACCAACTCGTGGTTCGGTAGCGCTTACCCAGTACATGTAACGATGCTTCGTCAAGGAAGCCACGGTCTCATGTTCTGGCTGCGGGATATCACGGCACAAACAAGGCCGCTGGTTTTTCTGTTCCAATAGGTATATCTCGAGACAGGTACTCTGTGGGCATTACAATTGCAGTCGGTAGCTCCTCCGGACGTCATGTTGATCCTGGCGTACACATGCCATGGCCAGCTACTTTGGAATCCAGTGTGGAGTCAAGCCGATCGATGAGACGGAACCTGTGTATACCCGAGGCAGTTCGCCTGCTTGCACAAGAGAGTGAGTGAATGGAGACAAAAGGGGTTTCGCATTGAAGTTTTAGGTCTTTTTCGTTCGTTCGGAAGTATGGCTTGACCTGATCGAACTCTCGAACGTTTGCTTATCAACCGTCACGTTTTTCCTAATCATCGAGACTAACATCGAGACACTCATTGAACGAGCAAAAGAATCCCTCGTCGCAGCCCCTTTATAAAGAGCCAGTCCCGAGATCGAAACACTCGCCCTTGTAGCGTGGTCCGCGACATGTCGTCGTCCCGTCTTCACAGAACTTGCCGGCAGAACAGATGATATGGCACTCTCGGTGGTCGATCGGATCTGCATCGACTCGACACAAGTCGTCGATACACTTGAACCCCGCGTCGCACCCTGCTTGGGATTTCACTGCCGTGGCATTGTAACACTCGGTCTCGCTTGCAGCAGCTTGACACGCGTGAATGGTGCCGACGCAGTACTCTCTCGCTTTGTTGCACCCTTCTGTCAAACAGTCGACCGTCGAGTCGGAGTGATCGTGAGACGTGGACATGGTGATCGTGCTCGAGGCGACTATGCAGAATGTTGACGTGAGGAGGATCGATGATAGATGAGGGACGACGAGCTTCATCTTGTCAGCGGAAGATTGAACAAGCACAAGTGACAATGGCGTGGATCAAACAGGCAGAGCCAACGGACTTGATAAAGGCCGAATGATCCGCTCGTGTAGTTTGTTGAGATGGAAAAGGAAGGAAAATCAGTACTTTCGCGCTGAAGCATCGCTGCCAGCCACTTCTGAGTACGGACGTCAGGTACCAGACGCAGCACACGACCACGTCTCTGGTCTTATCGGTGCGCCATCACGAGCGCATCGACTCGCTCCAGGAGCTTCAAGAGAGTTTCGTCTACTACTTTTCCTCAGGAGCTGCTGCTGAGCAGAGGATGAACTCGTCCGCTGCGTTCCACGAGATTGTAGCACTAGCTAATGCCCTGCCAGACGTCCAGCGGAAAGTGGGCGGCAATGCCGCGACCATGGCTGCTCGAGCCTCGGCTGAAGGGTGCACTGTGCTCTCGGGCGCGGCTATGGGCGTCCATATGAAGCAGTACTTTGACGATCCGATGATTCAGCTTGTAAGGGCCATTGAAGGAGAGGAGAAAGAGGACGTGCACTTGGTGCTCGAGTACGGACGTGTTGACGCCTTTCGAGGCCATGTGTCACCACGGGCGAATCGCTATTATTTAAACCATGACGTGCACAATGCGCGGCTGTCGGTGCTTGAAGAGTTCGAGCAAACGCTCGAGACGTTCGAGCCGGACTTGGTCGTCTTTGGCGGCTTGCAGCTCATGGAAGTTGAGCAAGATGTACGTGCACGGGTCCTGCGTCTCGAAGCACTGGCCGGGGTGTTCCAGAATTTGTATGCAGTTGACACACCCACGCATTACGAGTTTGCTGCGGTGTCGGACTTTGGGCTGTTTTCCGACACGGTGCGCTTGGTGCTGCCATGGGTGGATTCTATCGGTCTGAACGAGCAGGAGCTGTTTATTCTGCACCACTTTTTAGTGACGGGGAAAGAAAGCACTGCGACAACGTCTCGACCGACGATTGCTGAGATATATGACATTATTCAGTTTGCAAAGGATGCGAGAGAGACGGTTGAGACAAGCAGACGGGGGAAGGAGGACGATGGAAAGCACGAGGTGACGGTGGCGTTAGCGCATTTGTCGCGGATTCATTTCCATACGCTGCAGTTTCATGTTGTATGCCAGAGGAAGAAGGGTATCTGGGAAGACCCGACTTCAGCATTGGTGCAGAGCGCACTGATTCGTTCCAAGGTGGCGTGTGGCAAGCCGCCGGTCCCAAGGAGTGGCAGTGCTTCTGATAATGAGAACGAGGCCCAGTCGACGCGTACTAGCGCTGAAATGGAAGTGGACCCGGAACGGGTTGAGACGCTGCTGGCTCGTGAGCAGCTATTGAGCGAACGTCAGGATCACAAGGTCGACCTGGATCCATTGTCGCCAGTCATTACAGGGCAAGAAGCTGACTTTCAATGCCACCTGGTGCCAATGCTAGCTTGTAAAAAGCCTGACTACACTGCTGTACTGGGCTACAATATCTCTGGTACGGGCATCGCCTACCACCGCCTTCAAAAGACAAAGACCAAGGCTGATGTCTTTGCTGAATAGACGGAGCAACCTTTGCAGCAAGACTTGCGCGTGAGCTGTCTAATTGTATAGCATCCTAACTGCTCGTTGGCTCTATCTACTATCAAGTTCTTTACTCCTTGACCGTGTTCTCTAGTTGCTTGCTTGCAGTGCGTGAGCTGGAGCCAACCCTATCCGTCATGCATCGAAACCACGGCCCGATCTTCGTCTCACGCATCACGTCGTTGTACGTGTCCAGGCCGTGCATCGCACGAAGGACACCAAAGACCGAGAGGTCTGCTTTGTTCGGTTCATGCCCTCCAAGAAACGGGCGCTTGTCACCAACCGCATCAACCCAGCTATTCAGAGCCGCATACAACGCCAGTCGCTCATCGTCAATACCGTATTTCTTCTTCGACCGCTTGGCAATGAGGTACATCACCATTGCCCCGACGTACTTGGACAAGTGACGTTCCATGGACGTGAAGTTTCCAGCGGCCAAGCAATAGTCGAAAGCCTGCAGCGCCTCCGGCAGCGTGCGATAGATATTGGGAGGGGTCAAGACAATGAGCTTCTGGTCGACCCATTGGCACCACTGGGTTTCCTCCTCCTGCGGCTCTTTATGCTCAAGCTGTGAGCTTTTAGCTGGCACGGCCAGGTCCCACAGTCGCGTGATAATTGCCGAAGAGTCCACGACCACGTCATTGCCAATAGTGACAACTGGCACCTTGGCATACTCGGTCACAGCTTTGGTCTCCTTCTTGGTCAATGGATTGACTTCCACCACGTCGTACGGAAGCTTGAGGTAGTCCAGTACAGTCTTCACCTTGCAGCAATAGGGACACGGTTCGTACTGATAGAGCACCACCTTTGGCACTGCTCTATTCGTATTGACCGTATCCGTAACTGAAGCACCAGTCGAGCAATAAGCACACGAAGCACTCGTGCTTACTGCAATAGCGGCCACAAATCTCCATTTTTGAAGCAATAGCGATGCGGAGCCCGAGATATGAGACTGAAAGCGGGTCGTTGTGGGAACAAAGCGCTTGGGTGCCGATGGATGTGCGAGGGCCGACGACGTAGAGCGCAAACCGCAGGCGAGACGTGTGACACTACGATGCAGCATACTTGAGAATGGTTGGTGGAGATTGAGCGCTCTTATTAAAAGCCGATGTGGCAGTTATAGCAATCGACCACTGTAATTGAACATGATAGAGTTAGTCTGTAAAATATCGTACTGTAACATCTTTTGCTAGACTGAGTTAGCCGCCGAAAGCGAACGCATCTGGCTGGACGGACACGCTAAATAAAACATCCCATGGCCGTCAGGCGTAATCGAAAAATGCTTCTCGGAACAAACCTTCGTATCGTTACAACACTGAGTTGCTTGTTATAGGATGAGACCAAAAACGATTGTGCCAAGCAGTCGAAACTGTCGGTCGCACTAGCAGCTCGGCCAAAACTTGACCTGGTAAAACCCCTTGGACGAATGAGGTAGGTTCGCCAGCAGGGTAGCATCATCCAAAGGATTGTTTACGCAGTAGCGACTACCATCGAATATCCTACAACTGACGACAACACAAAGGTGTCAAGGACGACCTTCCCTACCTGAAGAGCCGGGGTCGCCACTGTGCCTCCTTGACAGCTATGACAGCACGACACTATACCAGCTTCAGCTTGAATCGATTGCGGGACAACCGCCGGTAAACACATGCACCGAAGATAGTCTAGTAATCAATCAATCAGTCAATCATCACCGTCTCGTTACCACCACGACCATTGCCCGCCGGTCAGCATTCACCACGCACATTGCAGGAAACAAGCAGGAACGTTCGTCTAGTTGGTAGAACAGTGCTGGAAGACGCTGCACGTTTCGACCGCTTTAGTCTCTTTCAGCGTCGATTCGAACCAGCTTGCTGGACTGATGTGATCTCTCGATATCGCGACCACTACGAGCGGCACGTTGTACAGCTTAGCTCTCTTCCAGCTCTTTTTTCGGTACAATAGAACCAGAACATCTGGTAGTCACCACCACCACCACCACCGCCACCACCACCTTCATTTGTCGAGCTTGAAGCGTTCAACTTTCACAAAGAGCTCATCTGACCATTAGTCGCAGCTTTGTACTCTTCCTGCTGGTTGGTGCTACTTGACTGACTGACGCCTTGAATGTCTTACGTCTCACATCAGTAGTCCCATCGCCGAGATCGAACTCGCAAGTCTTTTTAGCACCGACGCCCTTGCGTCAGTTCCGAATTCCTTCCATTCATACAGCAGCTCCTCATGAAGCGAGAGACTTGGGGAGTCAGGGCTGCTGCAAAAGCCTTGTCTCTATGGACACGATGGATGCGTCCCTCAAGCTGGACGTGGCACTCCTGGACAACAGTCTCGTCAAACCAAGACCACCTCACTCCGTGTCGACGTATTCATAGAGATGGATATCGGTGTATAGAGGGACAATTTGCATCTAATGTGGGGGTGGGTTACAAATTCAAGCCCAGCTTCGACGGTATTTCGTGTGATGTTGGCACAGCAAAGTGCCAGTCTGAAGGCTGTGGGGTAGTTTGTAGGCAGCATGGTGGGTTGGTTGCCTGGGACATATAATACAGCGTACAGGTACTACCTAAGATGGTGATCTTTTTAGACTTGGCGAATATGTCTGGAACTGACTCTGTCTCTGTCAAACGACTCTTTCTCTGCTAAAAAACCTTTTTTTCTCGATTCTACTTCTGTACGGCTTCGAGGATCTCTTCAGCTCTGTGTCAGCTCTGTCTTCTTCTTCGATAAAGTTTAAATTCCCATTGATGGAAAAATAGCCAATAAAACTACGGTTTGCTCCTCACAACAATAAAGACCAACACCAGCAAACGACCAGAATGTCTACATGTCTCAGATGTTAATGCACAACCTGGAGCAGATTTTATTGTAAGCGAAAGGTGTGGACTTGTGTTGGTGGTCTTATGGCTATAATTCTGCTGGTTTTGGGCAAATTTGAATTCGGAGGTGGAAGTGGAGTGGGCTGTTCTAACGGAGCTTTCACGTTTAATCCTTTAATTATTGACTTTGCTGAGGTATTGGAAAACGCCACCAGAATTTGAGCCAGTGATAACTTATGGGAAAGTGTGTTTACCGAGACTTAGATGTTAGCGGAGGGAGGACTGTAGGACCGAGTTGGTCTAAACGTCATGGCTACAATTACCTAAAACTAGTTCTATTGTATAGGCTACGTAGCAAAGTCGGTGGCGAAAAAGCCTGATACCGACTATATTGTTCAGCTCCATAATAGTGAGTATTTACAGCACCACGAGTTTATTTATGGAGTGTAATTAAAAGCACTATAATCAGCGGCTACAAAGCTTTCGGAAATTAATTATTTGATGATTCGTTTAATTTATTGTAGTGACACGGCACCCAAACGAGCTCGTTCGTGTACCTAAGTAATCTGAAATCAGTTGGCTGGAAATCCTTAGTGTGATTCCTTTGATAACCGATGAAACGATCGTCGCTGGCCACAGAGGCCTCACAGTAACTTCATAGTAAGCTTCATAAAAATAGGCGACTGAAGGGCACTCATGCCGACTCGATAGCATAGCTTAGTAATCTAAAATCGTTGGCTTGAAAATCCCTCTCTCTAAACTCACAGTAAAGCTTAGATACCAAAACTATGTGGCTACAGGGCACTCGCACCGACTCCATCAAATAACTGAGCAATTCAAAACCAGTGGCTTCAAACTCTTAATCTGATTCTTAGTACTGCCGATCAAACGAAATCGCTGGCCACAGAGACGCGAAAATAATTTTAAGTAAAGTTCTATTAAATTAAATGACTGTACGGCACTTACACCGACTCCATGTGATAGCTTTGTAATTTAAAAATCGGTGGCTGTAAAGCCCCTTATCTGATTTATTATAGCCAATAAAATGATAATGGCTTGGCCACAGAAACCTTCACTATGATCGCATAGTAAACCAATGATAAAAATAAGTGGCGACAGGGTCCCCAAACTGATTTCATTGTACAGCCAAGTCAACAAGAATCAGTGGCTATAACGCCTCTATGCTAAATTCCTGTAAGAGATGAACAAACATACTCGATGATATTACGGTCCTTACAATCGGAAATATTAAAGCACGAAAGACGACGAGTTCTTCTCATTCCTCGTCTCGCCCTTCATCAGAGCAACCGTTCTGACCGTCAAGGCATGCCATCTTTCCACGTGTTTTGCCCTCCTTGTGAGTGCAGTGCTACTGCTCAACCGTGCTTGCTGTTCAATCCCAACCAAACCAGTGGTCGCAACGTCTGATGATCAAGCTCAGAAATATTCAACCGCGGACAGTGTATCAAGTGCCCATGCGTCATATCAAGGTCTAGAGAGACGGGCTGAAGTCTCGGGCGGTTTATTCAAAACATTGGTCGACTGGTTCAAGGCGATCGCGACCAAATTTTCTCAGCTCGTCGGACTATCTCGCCGACCTGTGATGGCGGAAATTCGCGAGTCTCCTGTCAATTCAGGCACACACCGAGCCCGTATACCTGAACCGGACGCTCAAAACATCGTCAAGGGTGACTTTGTGGGGAAGCTAGGCCAGCCTTCTGTCGAACCAAGCAAGCTCCATGTCCGGAATACTGATGCTGATGAGCATTATGTCTCCAACTACATCAAAGCGAACTTCAAGGATAGTCCCGCCAGAATCGATCGACTCTCCTCGTATCTAGAATTGCTCTCACGTATGCACAAGGTATCTGACTGGTATCTCATCAAGAAAAACATCAACATTGGATCTCTCGTTGCAGACGCCAAATTCCCTTCGGAAAAAGCGGGTCAACTTACTAAAAGCCAATCTGACGCAAATGTCTTTGCGATGTCAAATCTTTCCCCTGATGCATACGATACAGCTTTGAAGCGGTTCAAGAGGGATGCGAAAGATGATCCTGACCTTGCTATGTTTCTGTCGGTTTGGTTTCACGACAATGACAAACATCTCGGTACCTGCATCTTTAGCGCCCTACAGACCCCCGCTTATAGAGAAAAGGGTATAAAGTTGTTGATCTACATGTTTCAAGACTTAGACGGGATGCACAGGAATTCTGACTATGTCAGTGAGTTGTTGAGGAGTAAGTTTGACCAGTATGGGAGTATATTTGTCGATGCGATTCAACTCCTTTACCGAAGGTATCATAGAGCGAAATAGAATCCGAAGACATTAAGTGCAAATTTACACTTTGTATTAGCCTCTACCCTTAACTATACTTACGCATTTAATTATACATCTCTGCTTTTGTGCTCGCTCCTCACTCTCCACTCATATATTGTTGTGTCGGAGTGACACTCTGGAATGGGGAAATTTGGGATAACTATATTGGGACACCAAGAACGGGCAATGTGATTGAAAATCTTGTGGATTCTCTGACCGAGGTATACTGTTTCATACTATTTCTTTGGGTAAAGATCGATTAGAATGGTATTCCTATAACTGATATTATTTTCAGAAATGCGTCTTTGCATATCATGTTTACATGCATTTATTAGAATTAAGGAATATCAGGTTTTAGGATCTATGACCTTAAAGAGATATAAACCTTTGAAGCAAGTTTGTCCTTATTTCCACTAACAAATTTCTCAGCAACTTGTACTAATATTTTCACTAAATATCTTTTGACTAGCTATAAACATAAAACAGTTATTTTAATAGCCCTACAAAGCAGGTCATCTCTGTGTAAAGTGGACGGACCAGCTGAAAAAAACTAGATGTGCTGATAATACCGTGTTCGGACGAATCTCGCTAGTCACTACGTAAAGGAAAAGTGATCTGCATACACAATGTACACCCCAGAACTTTTTCTGGCCGGCTGCTGACGAGGTTTCCAGCCTCAAGTCCGCATTAATAAAAGCATTAGTGCGCGACTGTTTTATAATAAAGTAGAACCTGTCTAGAATGATACTATCTGAAAAATCAAGGCCTTAACGTAATAGTAAAGTCCTTTTAAGGTCGGGCCCGATTATGTATCATCAAACCTCTGGAATTTGAATAATTGATGCAATTCAAGGTCCAATTCTTTCTTTAGATAGGCTGTCGGTACGGTAAAATGCGGATCCCGCATTCTATCCTATGGGAAATGGGATGCAGGATAAGCCACGACTACCTCGCGCGTCTCGCACATCCCTCATAATACATCTATCTTACTATGCATTTCGTCAATAATCTATTACTTACATTAAGTTAATTCGTTGTTTATCAAGATAAAGTTAATGGATTCGTCATCTTTTTTAAACGTATATATTATCTAAGTTATTGTTAATTTACATTTTTTGACCCTTTTGCTTAGGCAAGTATCAAGACACTATGAAATGCTTTTGCTGCCTCAGCGCAATCTAATGCACATCTTTGTTACTCCAACGATCGTGATTTTAACTTAAGTGACGGTCAATTGCACAAGTTTCTCTTTTTCATTTGCCTTAAAGCGTAACAGATAGATTTACATTATAACAAACTTCGGGATCGCTTCGAGCATTTGCACAGCTCAAAGTTTCCGCCAAGACCCAAAAGTCCCTATTTACTAGAACCTTACTGCGTTGATGTTGATGCGTGTGGTCAGACTTCAAAATTCCGTTGCTGCCACAATTTAAAAAGTATTTTGCTCGCATACGTTCGCCATCAGCAGCAACGATTACTTTCTGTTGTAGTCAGGTACAGTGGGTACATTTCGATATTCTAACGAACGAGTATTAATCTCTTTGGAGGGCGGCTAATCATCTCGTCCCAGCTCGCGGCTATCGTGACGCTAGACGGGACTGATACTAGACGAATTTCTGGGTTTCATCCAGTCCTAGAGGACCCTAACTATTTGCTGTCGGCTTTTAGTGCTTCTTGAAGAGGCTACAGCTCATTATCGCCAGGATTACCAAGTGTTACTGCTGATACTTAGGCAGTTGCCCACATTCAAAATAATCTTAGGCTAATCTTGAAAGTCCGTGGATGGGATTAGATACAGGCCAATTTATTGACCTGGTACCATTGCTTTGGATAAAAACCCTCAGCAGAACCAATTAGGATCTACTGGAACGGGCTACAGGCTTCTACACCTGTCGTAGCTGGTAAGTATTGGTTTCAGTGCATTTCTTTGCCATTCTACTCCAATTTCCATTCATTTATTCTTTCGGCACCCGTGAAGGTGCTTGCGTGAACGCAAATTTAGTTTGTCGCTTAAAAAAATGTTTGTGCAACTAAGCACCGGAGCAACACACTGGACAACTGGTGTGGAGCTACTATCACCGACAGCAGGGTGAGTTGTAACGGGGCACCCTGAAGCTTGTACTGGTGACAGTACAAGCTACTTATTCTGATAACAGAATAAGGCGGTGCCTCGTAACTTCACGTACACTCGTACGTGCAGAGGAAGACGGTAAGAAGAAGCGAGTACTCGGTTAGAGTAAAAAGTAGAACTGTATTTATAATAGTTAATGTCTGCAATAAATCACTATTTATCTTCATCTAACTATGTCTAAATACAAATGTGTAAATCAGTTATCTGCTCACCACTCATTGCGTGCGTCTGTCGTGGCGCGTCTTCGTTGGTTGATATAATGGCCTATATCAACCAATTAGGAACTACTTGGAAGTGCTACAGGATATTGTCCTTATGACAATATTCTGAGAATATAACTCTTATAGTTATATTCTATTAACAATTTCTTATAAATTGTTATGTAACGATTCACCCCGTTACATCACCCCCTTAACCATCAGTCACCTTAGTGACTGATTGACTAAATGGATACTCGTCCCAAATCATTTGGGACGGGGTTTGCACTTGTTGGTCCGCGTCCACTTTCCAACATCTCATCGCATGGTAAACAAGCCCATGCGATGCGCGAGCAAGGCCGCCGAGAGCGCGTCTGCACGTCTCTGTGCGGACGCCGAAGCAGAAACTACAGCAACTGATATCCCATCGGTTGCTGAATCGACTCAGCCTGTATCACCTGGTGATGCAGGCGCTGGTCATGAAGACACTCGTGTCTTCACAGAGTACGAGCTCGGTGTCTCGTACTCTCCTGATACGGATGACGGATCCGTATCGACGGCAATTGAATCCAAGCCGCCTGCCAAGCGTGGCATGGACGATGCTTTGCGTCGCAGCATCTTTGGTTCATCTGATGAGTCAGATGAACCATCGCCGAAGCGAAGGCGCTCGAGGTCGCGAGACTCGGGCGCTAATAGTGGTGTCGGTTCTCCTATGGACACCACTTCACAGCGAGGTGCCAGTACTTCTGTCGGCACGTCGCAGGAAGAGCGGGACCGCAATGTGTTGCGTCTCGCTCCAGAAAAGAAGGCATGGATGCCTCCTAAATCCGTCATGGATCACTTGTCGGCGACGACGAGTGATCGTTATCGAACACGATTGTTCGATTCGTCGAGGATTCATCACCTTGACCCCAGCGCGAAAGACTATCGCGCTGAACATGAGTTCTTCATCGATGCTTTCTTCAGACATCGATGGTACAGTGGGAATCACAAACGTGATGGTCCCTCACTACTTCAGGCGTGGAACGCCTACATCCATAATCTCGAGGATGTAGGTCGTGACGCTTGGAACGACAAACTTATCAAAGCTCGTGATAAGTTTGAAAAGCGAACCCCGACAGGTGCACGCTATAAGCTGCATCGTCTGTCAAGGGAGAAAGGATTACCCTGCCTCTCTTGGGGAGACTCGTGCCCATGTTGTGTGAACAACTCTGCACGAGCACCTAAGGAGGCTTACCTCCTTACCAGCCCGTGGTGGCGCGTACGTGTCTCTACTGAGATGTACGAAGGGATTGACAACCTGAAATCCCTTTACGACCGTGCCGGGAAGACTTTCTCCGGCGGTCCTTCTGCGGCACAGGATGTGCCGCGTCGTACTGCTCGACCAGACCCAGTACGTCAACCATCAATTGGGAGCGGGGCTCCCAAGAATCCCAGGACGGGGGATAGCCGCGCCACCGGACGAGGTAACTCGTCCGACGTCCGTTCACGTCGCGGTGGTTCAACAGCTGCTCAACTAGATAGCGCTGGCCACCGCGAGAGTCCTCTAATGGAGGTGGAGGAGGAGGAAAGACGCTCTCCACACGATCATGTGGATCGGTGTGTTCCCGAGAGCTTCTTTGATCGCGTAACGCAAGGGTTACGCGAAGATCTCGAGCATGAGCGGAATAGGCGTCTCCAGATGGTGGACACTGCCTCGAAGCATCGAGCTGAGTTTGCCTTTGCTCAGCTTGAGCAACGAGAGATCTCTGACATCTCTTCGTGACGAGCTAAGGGTAGATCGTGGGATTGTTGATCGGTCTCGGGATGAGATAGCTGCTCTTCAGACCCTTGTTGATGCCCATCATCGGGATCACAAGGCTCTCTGCGAGATGCTTGAGCGCAAGGGCGTTCTTCATCGGAAGAAGCAGCGTACTGATGGTACGGCTTAAGCCGACCAACGTAAAACGTGGGATGCGTTCGCATCTTACGTGGTAACTCGATCGTGTATGCATTGCCTAGGCGGTGCAATACACGAAATGGGCCAATGTACTTGGGTAGTAGTTTACTGCTACCCAAGTTAGTCACTACATGTTTTGGTAGATTAACCGTAGACAGTAGGACTAAGTCACCTTTATTAAATAAAAGAGTGTTTGCCCTTCCATTCTTGTCAGCGTTTTGCTTTTGCTTATCCACCGCTTCGGCGATGGAGTCTTGCACAAAACGGACTACCGTTTCACGAGCCAGTATGAACTCATCTGATGACTCGTTAGCTTCAGTGTGCTGTGAGCGCACTGCAGCGACAACAACCTTTTCTTCAGTGAGGGCTTCCGCACTCTCACTGGGATCATTGTCTTCAGTGAGGGCTTCCGCACTCTCACTGGCATCATCTTCTTCGATATCGATGTTATCGATATCGGCATCAAACGCAATGACTTCTTCGTCAGAGCGTGATGAGCGTGAACCAAATCGGTTTTTGCTCGCGCGAGTCCCTCCCCCCTTAAACCAGAGTTACACTCTAGTAAGGTGGGTACACGCGGATGGCGCAAGCCATTCACGTAAAACGGTGTATGTGTCGTGGACGCATGCACCGAGTTGTTGATGGCAAACTCTACCATTGGCAAAAACTCACTCCAACTCTTAAAGGAGTGTACGTATCCTCGAAGTATCTCTTCAAGGACACGATTGGCACGTTCCGTCTGACCATCTGACTTTGGGTGATCAGATGTTGACATCTTCAAGCGCGTTCCGAGTGATTTGAACACGGAACGCCAGAAATCAGCAGTGAATCGTGGATCTCTGTCTGATACGAGTTCACGGGGCAACCCATGAAGTCGGAAGATGGTGTCAATAAAGACACAAGCACAGCCACTTGCCGTGATTGTCTCTGGTACAGCCACAAGGTGTACCATTTTGCTGAATCTGTCAACAAATACGAGAATACCCGTATTCCCGCGTGCGTCTTTGGGTAACCTGAAGACGAAATCCATTGAGATGGATTCCCAGCACTCAGCCGGAACCGGTAGAGGCTGTAAAGGTGCACGCAGTGAAGGACTTGACTTCACTCGTTGGCAGACTTCGCATGCGCGAACATACTTTCGCACAAACTGATACTGGCGGGGCCAGTAAAAGTCTCGACTTACCGTGAGATATGTTTTCTCTCGGCCACGATGTCCTCCTATAGGAGCATCGTGATACTTCGAACATGATCCGCAAACGCAGATCAGTATCATCTGGAATGACAACACGTGGTGTGTCACCAGAAACGGCTGTATAGTACAGTAAACCGTTACGAGTAGTGTATCGATCTGATGCAGATCGATACGCAGACGACAATCGTTTCAACGATTCTCGAGATGGTTGGGAGAGATGTGACAACAACTTCACTATCTCACCATCTTGGGCGTATGCCCGCCTCACATCATCATACAACGTTGTAGATGGAACTGAGGACGTCATAACCGCAACAGTGACTGTCTCACTGTTGGGTTTCGCGACTGTTTCAAAGTCGGGACGACGTGAGAGTGCATCAGCGACGACATTAAGTCGTCCTGGTTTGTACTCGACCGTAAAGTTGTATTCTGCAAAGAATGACAACCACCGCGCCATTCGTTGTGAAAGGTGCGGGCTGTTCACTGCCGTGCGTAAGGACGCATGGTCAGTGTAAACAACGAAGGGTCTATCTCCTAATAGATAGACTCTGAACTTCGCGAGTGCATACTTCATGGCAAGGAGTTCCTTGTCATGCACTGGATAGTTCCGCTCAGCTGGTTGCAGCTGACGCGACTGATAGCAGACGACGCGTTCAACGCCTTCAAGGTCGTACTGCATTAATGCACAGCCGATTGCGAAATCGCTGGCATCACAGACCACATGAAATGGCCTGTCCTGATCGGCTATTGCTAGGACTGGGGATTGTATCAAGCTCTGCTTGATACCCTCAAAGGAGCGTTGACATTCAGCGTTCCATAACCACCTCTCGTTCTTTTTCAACAAACGAGAGAGGTGTACAGTCATCTCGGCGTAATTGCGTGAATACTTATGCAAATACGCCGCTAGCCCAAGGAATTTTCGAAGACCTTTGACATCGACCGGCACAGGCCAGTCGGTGATCGCCTTGATCTTTTCGGGATCAGGCCGTACACCGTTCTTACCAACGATGCACCCAAGAAGTGGTATTTCGCTTGCTGCAAATATACACTTCTTGAGGTTAGCATACAATTGATGCTTTCGCATGATTGTAAGAACTTGTCGGACGTGGTACCTGTGAACCTCAACGTCCGACTTTCCATCCATAGCTCGACTATGGATGAATACGTCATCGAAATAACTCGGCGCGAATTCTCGTACTGGCCTCAACAGATGTGATACACACCTGTTGAACGTGGCAGGGGCATTACTGAGCCCTTGTGGCATTACTAGCCATTCCCAGAGCATGCCGCTAGGCGTGCTAACTGCGGTATAGGGTATATCCTGTTCCCGCATTAGGATTTGATAGAAGCCATCCATCAAATCCATGGACGAAAAGATGGTACTCTTTGACATACCATCAATGATTACGTCCTTCCTCGGTATCGGCGTCTGAGCCGGTACCGTTGCAGCGTTCAATTTGTTAAACGCGTGCACTATCCGCCACCCTCCTGTTGCTTTTCGCACACAGAAGGTCGGAGAGCTATGTGGGGAAGTTGATTCCCTCACATGGCCTCGCTGCTAAACGATCGGCAAAGAACTTGTCGATCGCAAGTACTTGTTCACGAGGCAGTGGCCACTGCTTCATGACACAGTACTTCGAGCCTGGTTTAAGCTCGACTTCGTGTCGAATACCTTTATCCTTCGGTAATTCGCACGGAACAGTTTCAGGGAATACATCCTTGAATTCAACCAAATCCTCATAGAGAGGGTTTTCCTTGAGCGATTCCCATGATTGGGACTCATATCGCTCAATTCGTGTCTTTTCATCTAGGACACTCTCGTCCATAGATGAACTACTGAGAACTCTCTCGTTCTCAGTAAACACTGTTGCTGACCTTATGTCGGTTACATACTCGTCGTCAGCGACGAGTATGCAGATCTGCTTGACTTTGCCACTACGCAGATCACGCAAGAACCTTTTATGTTCGAGCGTTGGCAACTGAGTGATCTCCGAAGTTAACTTCGGAGGCGCAATCAGATCAAGTGTATAAGCGCCTACACATGATCCGTTATTGACTATGACATTCAATGTCTCTGTCATTTCCTGGGGACTTATTCCCTCAGGCTTCGAAGGACTTATTCCTTCGTCTTCCCGGGGACTTATTCCCGCGGGGTTTCGGGGAACTTATTTCCGCCGTATTTGTAATCTTGGGACTTATTCCCTTTACTTCCTCTAGCTGGGGTTGCGCAACCACAGCGAGATCCTCTACGAAAGACTCTCCAGTCGATCTAGGATTATCGTTTCGCTTAACCTGAGCGATCGATTGTTTCTCTTCTAGATGTTCCCCTCTAGGGATACATCTTTGTCCCAGTCCACCCGACTTATTCGAGTGGTGGACCTTCGGCGCAGCCTGTGTTTCCTCACAGCCGCCGGAACTTTGCTCCGAAGTGTAACCGTTTGGTACACTAAGGTTTTGTGCAGTCGTACTAACGACCGTACCACAAGTGAGGCCATCGCACTCACTCGTAGTACATCCACACGCTTGTGGACGTTTCCAAAACGTTCATCAGATGGCCATCTGATGAACAAGCGGCAGGCATCGTTACTGTCCGATGTTGCCAGTTTACCCGTGGTTCGTACCTTCTGAGCCACGGTATTCCAAGGATGACATCAAATTTGTCATCCAAATCCAATACGATAAAGTCATCGTCATATTGGGTATCTTCTAGCGTATAGTGAATCTTCACTATACGCTTCATGACGGTTACGGATGCGCCTGTCGCAAGACGTACCGTCATCCTCGTAGGAGGTGTGTCACATTCACTGAATTTAAAGTGACCATCTTCTAGCGATTGGCGTCGCACAAAATTGTTGGACGCCCCACAATCGACTAGAGCTCGAAGGGACAACTTATTCGTCACTTCGAGTTTCAAGGTAATGAGTGAGATCTCATTACCTAGAGCAGCAACGCACAATGTCTGTGTGTTGGGAGCAACCTTCATCAAGAGGCCTACAAATTCTCTTGACGTTGCTGGATCAGTAGGGTGCTCCGCACCTACTGATCCTGTCCGTTTTTTGACGGTCCATCCTGTTGTTGCGTCTTTGCACCAACTGCGGACCCTCGTCCCTGCCCCTTTCTCATGGGTGGACGGTCACTACGCCCAGTGTCGCGAGACACTGGACGAGGGGCACTACACTCGTAAGCGTAGTGTCCTGTCTTCTGACATCTGTTGCATCTCTGCAACTTCTTGTAGCCTGTAGAGCGAACCTTCTCGCTCTCTACATAACAGAGTTCCATCGGCTCTGGACCTCCGTTGTCATATCGTCTCGGTTGACGATATGATGTCGAGCTGGCGCGAGCCTGTCTCAGACTGAAGTCTTCCTGCTCCGCAATGGAAATGGCTTGTTCTAGTGAATCTAGTTCAAGCCGGAACAGGTGAGTCTTGACGGGACCATCCGCAAGACCCTGCATGAACACCGAAACCAACGTGTGTTCATCCACCGGATTGGAACTTATACAACTCGTGAGATGTCGTATATGTTGAGCGTAAGCGTGCACATCACGCTTACCCTGCTTGAGCTTCAAGAGTTCGGTTCGAGCTCTGAACTCAGCTCTAGGCGGTTCAAACGTTTGTCTGAGCCGCGACTTGAAGACTTCCAACGACCCAAACGCGTATGGGTCGTGCAGCTTGAGCCCCAGTGCCCAAGTCTTGGCACGTCCTGCCAGATTTGACTGGGCAAATGCAACTTGCATATCCCCGTCGTCGATGCGACGCGCCCTTATGGCGTCATCCACCTCGACGAACCATCTCAAGAGGGAGTCTTCTTCGACCCCTCTATACTTTGAGATGTCAATCTTCAAAGTCTCGGGTCGACGCGAGTGCATCGACCCGCCAGCAGCAGCTTGCTGCTGTCTCAACAGTTCAAACTGTTGAGCACCTTGTTCTCTCAACAACTCTGCTTGTTGAGAACCTTGTTGGTGAAGCAAGGCTACTTTCTCGCGTTCTGCGTCAAGTTCATTTTGAATGAACTTGGCGATAGTAGCATGTTGGGCATCTCTATTGAGAGCCTCTAGCATGACGCTAACAGCATGGATGCCCATGGTCGAACCCATTCGTTCAACCGCATCCCATTCGACATCGCTCAAATGGGAGTAGCCGTCACGCGTAGCGTGAAAGCTTTGGTCATCTTCATCATCCAACATATTCATGTTGGATGTGAACGCGGTCCTTGGACGGACTACGAAGTGCTACCAGGTGTAACGGGGCACCCTGAAGCTTGTACTGGTGACAGTACAAGCTACTTATTCTGATAACAGAATAAGGCGGTGCCTCGTAACTTCACGTACACTCGTACGTGCAGAGGAAGACGGTAAGAAGAAGCGAGTACTCGGTTAGAGTAAAAGTAGAACTGTATTTATAATAGTTAATGTCTGCAATAAATCACTATTTATCTTCATCTAACTATGTCTAAATACAAATGTGTAAATCAGTTATCTGCTCACCACTCATTGCGTGCGTCTGTCGTGGCGCGTCTTCGTTGGTTGATATAATGGCCTATATCAACCAATTAGGAACTACTTGGAAGTGCTACAGGATATTGTCCTTATGACAATATTCTGAGAATATAACTCTTATAGTTATATTCTATTAACAATTTCTTATAAATTGTTATGTAACGATTCACCCCGTTACATGAGTGGTGCATCGCTACCTTTGAAAATTACGCAGAGCAAGGGAAAGCAACTAGAAATTTACCAGTTGGTGGTAAAAGTAATACTGTATTATTTGCAATTAAGTCCTAGTCATTCATCGAAATTTTGGTCCTGGCCTGATTGTATTTATCTGCAACAATGTATGCTAGCGTCTTGCTCACCACTCATTGCGCGCGTCCGTCGTTGATTGGTCCGCTAGAGCTGGATAATATGATGACCCATATCAGCCAATCGGTGAGTGCTTCGGAACATTACCCCTTCTGGTAATATTCACAAAAACTATTTTACCTTAAAGATGAAATTCTAACTAGCAAGTATCAAAGTCGATTACATCTAACAAGCTCACCCCGCTTTATTTCCCCCCCTTAAACGATAGTCACCCAAGCACTATCATTTGATGTGGTCATTATTAGAACATATCAGGCATGGGAAGCACCTGTTTTGGTACGATCCACCCATTTCTCAATCTTCCTCGCATGGTAAACAAGTCCATGCGATGCGCGTGCCGAGAAGGCACCTGCGTGTGTTAACGCAGCTGCTCTTGACAATTTATAGTATTTCGCGGCAGATGATTCTTTGTCTACTGTCGCTACAACTCTTTCTGCAACACCAATTGCTGTCGAGGCATATGGTGAGTCACCACGTGCTGATGATGGTCGCTACCAAGTGAAGCTCATCGATTAGAGGAGGATGAGATGGTGGGTCCAAATTGAAACATACACCTGGTCACCCGAGTCCATAGAGGCGGCCGAAACTACCCTGTGAATAGTAATAGAGCGGTAGTCAGGCTCATGGTCGCTACTAGAGTCTTCAGCGCTTGGAGGATGAGCATGTTGACTCATTTTCCGTGCCTTCTACTGCGATTCGCTTTATAGCAAATGCGATGATAATTTGCACTGTCGTGATGAAAATTCCAGTGGTACCAAGACTTCTGTTGGTATCACATAAGAGGCTCTATACGGCAATGTGCTGCGTCTAGCCCCTGAATCAAAAGCCTTAAAACTACCAGGAAGGCTTGTGAATACCCTGTCAGGCGAGGCAAGTCTTTATCATCAATTCTTCTGTGCAAGATAGTTAGTTGCGCGGCCTCTACATCAGCGCTAGTAGCTTTAGAGCTGCAGAAGACTTCTATTTGGCTACTTCCCTAGAGCTTCGTTGGTATAGTGGCAACACTAATCGAGAGAAAATCTGTTTGCTGCAGGCAATTGAAGCCTTTATACTCAATGTCCAGCACACAGGGAGCAAAGCTTGGATTCGAAAATTTGGCGCAGCTCGTGTAAAGTTTATGAAATTAACCTTCATTAATGCAAAAGTCAGATTGCACCACATGTCTTGTGAGGCAGGAATTCGTTTTTCACATAAGGCATTTTGTGATTTGTTCTTTCGGCAATACTCAACGCACTTAAAGTGATTTGTACACCCTTTCTTAGCCCTGGAGTAAGGCGCAAGTCTCTTTTATGATGCGCGATAAAATTGCTAATCTGCAAACGCTCTACTAGCGCCATAAGAGCGTGTTTTCCGATGGCTCTTTTGAGCCATCGGATGTGTCTCGTCGTACTGGAGATTAAGACCTTTAACATCAGTCATCGGCTAGGCGCGGGGATCGCATCTGTTGTGGGACGGCGGATATCCGCGCATGCTATCAAGGTAACCCGTTCGCCTCCCCTTCACGTCGCAATGGTTCAAGATGCCCTTCACATAAAAGTTCTGACCACCGTGCAAAAATACCAATGGATGCTGTCGTGGCGGAAATACATACTTTGAACATTTGGAGCTGCAGACGGAGCTTGGTATTCTCCAGTAATGCTTGCACGATCACTGTGTTCGCACCGAACAAGAGAGACATGAAACTTTATCTGTGGGTGTGTATGTGCAACGATCCGCCTTTAAAACAATCCTACGAGCGATTGTATTTGCATACTACCAATTGGAGAACAAGCGGAAGTGTAGAGCTTTTCACGACGAAGTGGTTGGCATTCGTCGATAGCATGCGTGACTACATGTTCAGATTGAGAAATGGCTCGGGTCCAAAATGTTTCGTGGAGGTTTTAGGCGTGGCGTTTGTATTCGCCCGAGAAAGATCCCTCGTGCTGATAGTACGGATAGGTATGATCGACAAAAAACGTAGGATGAGCATGCATTTTGCGAGTCAAATTGACTGTGTACGCATTATATTTGCGATGTAGTACTTAGAACGGGTCGACGGGCTTGGTCTGTATTTTACTACAACTAGATTAGCTATTACGTGCGTTGGTAGGGTTACCGTGATAATTAGAAATAAGACTCTAACATTAAATATATATGAGCATTTGCTCTTCCAGCTTGTCAGCGCTTCGTTTCTGTCGGTCCTCCGACTTAGTAAAGGATTCTTGCACGTAACGGGCAACCGATTCTCGTGCCAGTATGTAACGGGGCACCCTGAAGCTTGTACTGATGACAGTACAGGCTACTTATTCTGATGACAAAATGAGGCGGTGCCGCGTAACTTCACGTACACTGGTACGTGCAGAGGAAGACGGTAAGGAGAAGCGAGTACTTGGTTAGAGTAAAAAGTAGAACTGTATTTATAGTAGTTAATGTCTGTTAATAAACCACTGTTTATCTTCATCTAACTATGTCTAAATACAAATGTGCATATCAACTATCTGCTCACCACTCATTGCGTGCGTCTGTCGTGGCGCGTCTTCGTTGGTTGATATAATGGCCTATATCAACCAATTAGGAACTACTCGTAAGTGCTACAGAATATTTGTCCTTATGACAATATTCTGTGAATGTAACTCTTATAGTTATATTCTATCAACAATTTCTTATAAATTGTTATGTAACGATTCACCCCGTTACATCACCCCCCTTAACCATCAGTCACTTTAGTGACTGATTGACTAATTGGATACTCGTCTTAAATCATTTAAGACAGGGTTTGCACTTGTTGGTCCGAGTCCACTTTCCAACATTTCATCGCATGGTTAACAAGCCCATGCGATGCGCGAACAAGGCCGCTGAGAGCGCGTCTGCACGTCTCTGTGCAGACGCCAAAGCAGAAACCACAGCAACTGATGTGTCATCGGTTGCTAAAGCGTCTCAGCCTGTGTCACTTGGTGATGCAGGCGATCGTCATGAAGACACTCATGTCTTCACAGAGTATGAGCTCGGTGTCTCGTACTCTCCTGATACGGATGACGGATCCGTATCGAAGGCGAATGAAACCAAGCCGCCTGCCAAGCGTGGTATGGATGATGCTACGCGTCATAGCATCTTTGGTTCATCTGACGAATCAGATGAACCATCGCCAAAGCGAAGGCGCTCGAAACCGCAAGACTCGGGCGCTCACAGTGGTGTCGGCTCTCCTATTGACACCACTTCGCAAAGAGGTGCTAGTACTTCTGTCGGCACGTCGCAGGAAGAGCGGGAACGCAGTGTGTTGCGTCTAGCTCCCGAAAAGAAAGCATGGCTGCCTCCATAGTCAGTCATGGATCGCTTGTCGGCGACGACAAGTGATCGCTATCGAACACGATTGTTCGATTCATCAAGGATTCATCACCTTGACCCCAGTGCGAAAAACTATCGCGCTGAGAATGACTTCTTCATCGATGCTTTCTTTAAACATCGATGGTACAGTGGGAATCACAAACGTGATGGTCCCTCGCTGCTTCAAGCGTGGAACGCCTACATCCATAACCCTGAGGATGTAGGTCGTGACGTTTGAAACGACAAACTTATCAAAGCCCGCGATAAGTTTGAAAAGCGAACCCCGACAGGTGCAAGCTACAAGCTGCATCGTCTATCAAGGGAGAAAGGATTACCCTGCCTCTCATGGGGAGACTCGTGCCCATGTTGTGTGAACAACTCTGCACGAGCACCTAAGGAGGCTTACCTCCTTACCAGCCCGTGGTGGCGCGTACGTATCTCTACTGAGATGTGCGAAGGGATTGACAACCTGAAATCCCTTTACGACCGTGCCGGGAAGACTTTCTCCGGCGGTCCTTCTGCGGCACAGGATGTGCCGCGTCGTACTGCTCAACCAGACCCAGTACGTCGATCATCAGTTGGGAGCGGGGCTCCCAAGAATCCCAGGACGGGGGATAGCCACGCCACCGGACAAAATAACTCGTCCGACGTCCGTTCACGTCGCGGTGGTTCAACAGCTGCTCAACTAGATAGCGCTGGCCACCGCGAGAGTCCTCTAATGGAGGTGGAGGAGGAGGAAAGACGCTCTCCACACGATCATGTGGATCGGTGTGTTCCCGAGAGCTTCTTTGATCGCGTAACGCAAGGGTTACGCGAAGATCTCGAGCATGAGCGGAATAGGCGTCTCCAAATGGCGGACACTGCCTCGAAGCATCGAGCTGAGTTTGCCTTTGCTCAGCTTGAGAACGAGAGATCTCTGACATCTCTTCGTGACGAGCTAAGGGTAGCTCGTGGGATTGCTGATCGGTCTCGGGATGAGATAGCTGCTCTTCAGACCCTTGTTGATGCCCACCATCGGGAGCACA